GAGTCTGGTATTGCTCTCGGGGGTGATGGATCTCTCTGGCTTGTGCAGGGCCGAGAGGGACGAAACGGGGTTGAGAACCAGGCGCTTCTCTGCTGTCAGGTCTGGGGCGGAGAGGCAGCGGTTGTTTTGGGTGGAGGACAAAACTCCAACCAGCGGCGTCGACGTGCTGGTGACGGATGGCACCTGCAAGGCAAGGCACCACAGCTCAAAAAGATTGTCAACTGAGAAGAATACGGACAAGCATGCGAGAGGAGAACAGGAGAACGTGAGGCTACCACGCTCAGCTCCTGCAGCGGACCAGCTGGAGAGCTCTCTGGAACAGCCGTGGCAGCCTCTGCCGGTCACGGCACGTTTCATGGCTGATCTATAACATAAGCAGGGGACACTGGGGTCCAGCACGATCTGGGTCTCAAATTTATTTCACTGTAAGAGCTGTTCTTGCTGCTGGGACAGGGCAAGTGGCAACCACTCCGATGGCAAAAAGCTTGAAGCAAGGCAAGACAAGGAGAAACCGAGAGGCACTGCACCACCCTGGCTGAAGGAAGCCGCGCTCTTCGAGGGAAATCACCTCCAAAGGGTTTTTTGCTCCCTACCAAGCCGTAGGAGAGAAAGAATAAATACTTGGCCCAGGTTTAACACACTGCGCTGCAAAACGTCATGAGAAAAGGTGTGTATGTGCCCGAGGCAGATTGGTGGAACAACCTCGATGAGTGGTCCCAGGCCACACCGCGGCCACCACAACTGGACACTGCCTGAGACAGCCTCCAGCAGAGCTCCAGAGCAGCATTTCTTGTCAGCTCGTCATCTCCAAACCCACCCCTTAACGCTGCTACATTTGGAATGTGAGAGAATCCAACCACAAATAAATCAGAAATCAAAGCCGCACGTACGCAACTGCAAATGGTATTATTCTTCTCTAAGGTGAAATGATTTTATCCAGCAGCTAGTTTGAACAGCGATAGCCTTTCCCTGCTTAGCCCGAAAGAAAGTTGTTTCTACTGGCTTATTTTGAGGTCAAAATAAGTTTATGGAACACCCTCGTAGTGCAACTCTTAATTGGCCAGGTCCAGAAGCCACCTATTTAAAAAAGTCCTGGGAGGGAAGGTCAGTTACAGGCCCTCGCTTTGAGCTCAGTCCAGCTCCCATCAGCTTAGACGGGAACTGGACCGTGGTCCGTGCTCACCACCTCGGAGCCGCGTAATTCAGGGATCACCGGTCAACTTAGTGTGCCCAGGGGGGATTTTACCATTTCCCGAGTAACATACCCCAACCAAACTGACCTTCCACAGGACTGCAGAGGCTTCTGTTCCCTATGGGATCTCTGGAATTGAACCGTTCCCTTCTCCATCTGGGATGAAACTGAGCCCAGGACGGAGGGGTGTCGGCACGAGGAGGTGGCACGTCCTAGCAAGCGGCCCCGGCGGAGCAGTGTTGAAGCTGTTCCAGGCTGAGAACTGACAGCTCTCATGATTTAAGCTGCTGCCGCCAGCCACCAGGATCCCGCGGGCCAGAGAGGCACATCGGAAAGGAGGCAGAGCACGGCCTCAGAGACGGAGATTAGTACGAGAGCGAGCGTGCAAAATTTGCATCTGCTGGCAGGGCCAAACAGCGGGGCCAGCGGTGCTGCCAGGCACGGCGCAAGGAAAGGCGTTCGCCAAGGTCATCTCCAGTGAGCGGAAGGTACCCAGCGATTACAGCTGGAAGAGCCTGAGGAACCTCCGGCTCAGATTTTCAGCGGTGCTTCGTGCTCACCGCTCGTTTCGAAGCACTGCGGTGCCCTGAAAAGTCGGGCCTGTTGCACAGGGTAACGGATACGGTGAATTCACTTGGCCTGCTGGATGCGAGGGGAAGCAAGAGCAGGCCAGCTCTTCCCGTAGCGTGGAAGTGCAGAAGAAAGCATCCGAACATCAGGAGAGCAATGAGTTTTGCTCTGTTTAAACAGCTTTGGAAAGAACAGGAGAGAAAGGGGGAGGAAGAGAGGATTTTTTTCTAAACTTCCAGAAGATTTTTCTTTAATCGGCTGGGGATTCAGCCTTGAAAAGAAAATTAATTACAAGACAAAAGCACGATGAGTAGCCTTCCAACTTCCAATTATCCTCCAGCGCTAACAAACAACTCGGTAAGCTGTCTACTTTTCTGCTTAGTAATTTCTAACCTAGCAGCGTTTTATTGTGAGCTGCAAGGAAGTGATTGGCCCCATGGCGATAACACAGCACCAGCAGCGCCGCAAACGCAGTTATTTTATATCTCCAGATTACCGGCGCTGTGTAACCTCAGATAAGAATATTTACACACAGAAACCCCATGTTTCCAGACGCAGCCGGTACCTTTGTTTTGTTGGCCGGGGCTGATCTCTGCCTGCTCTTTGATCTCTCCTGAATGGTGTCGTTGCAGCTCCGACTCCTTTCCACTTTGGCGGTTAGGTTCCTGAAAAGCAGATGCGTGAAAAGAGGAGATTGTTCATGACCTTAGGAACAACCAGCCCAACAGCCCTGGCAGCAGCTACCTGTGGGGGAGGCATCAGCCTTGGCAGCGCCCGGCTGTGAGAGATGCCTCCTACGCCCTCGGGATAAAGGGATCCAGGAATCTTGGATCTGCTGCAGAGCCCTGGTCTGCGTTCAAGGCCTCCGCACGAAACGCACTGACACCTCCACCTACGGCTTATAACTAATTGAGGTCAGAGCTAACGACGACGCGGTGGAAACCCCTGTGCTTCTCATGTGAAAACACACTTGTTACTCAGCCGCTTCCACTGCACCACGCAGCAGCTTTCACGGATAAGCTGTTTGGGGCCGACGCTATCTCTCAATATCTGTACTGGAGGAGGATCCAGCACTCTTGAGTTCATCATGCAGAATCGTGTACTTTAATGATTTCTGTCATTTAAATCTACAGGCGATGATTCTTCTGCTTCGTGGGATCAACACTAACTTCGTTAACCCCCAGGGTTTTGTAACAGGTAGGAGGTAATCAGACAGACGCTATATCCTATCAAGTAGTCTGTTCTAAAACTCCAGAAAAATTATTACTTATTTTGGATTGGAACAACCATTTTAATTAAATTTAAAGCATCTCAGGTACGTTTAGAACAACGGTCAAAAGAACGTGAGATTTACATCTCTAATGAACATTAGTCAGCTTGAAGCAAGTCTCAGCATCTTACCCTGAAAGGAAAGCAAAGGAGTAGGCACTGGTCTTGGAGACAAAAGCCGACCGATGTGTTTGCTTCCCCTGGAATGGTTCTTCGTTCTCTGAATCCGAGAGACGTTCAGGAAACTGAAGTCAATCAAGGAAGAGTTAGCTGACATGCACAACAAAAAGAATCCCTTGGAAAAAAAAGCTCTTCCTTGCAAAGATATTAAAGATTCCAAAAGCCCCCGTTCCGATTACACCTGGAGGACGTAAACTGAGAATGCAACCTGCCGGCAGACACACATGCTCGTGCGGCTCTCTTCTCTGGAGCTGTGACAGCTCAAAGGCTGGCCCCAAAAGCATAAATAATACAAAAATAAGCACACAGCTCCTATGTATAGCTGTCAGTCATTGAGGAGAGTTAATTTATTGATCAAGGAAACGTGAGAAAGTCCTACAAGAAGGGTACTACGGGGCGTTATTCAGTACCCACGTATCAGCCTGTCAGTCTTTAAACCTTAAGAGCATTTCCTGCGGAGCCTCACAACTGAAATGAGAAACAGGCAAAACTCAGCATGAAGAATCTGTTGGACTACAGTATCGGTCACCTACACTGTAGAAGATTCACGGAGGTATGTTCATGGAAATGCATATATGCCTGAAGCTCAAGGATACCCAGAGCAGAGCGGTTACCTCTACAGATTTAACTGATAGGTTTGGAAGAGCTGCACCTTCAGTCATGAGTAAAGTGGGCAAAAGGGGGGACAGAAACCTCTAGAAGAACATCTGTAGTCGTAACAAACCTAG